TTGACATTGGTTTGCCTGGAGAACTCTTATAAATAGATTGTTTGATTGAACTTAACACAAATGTCAAGATGGAGTTGGTCTAAGGCGCCAGTTTCAGGTACTGGTCCGAAAGGGCTTGGGTTTAAATCCCATTCTTAACAAATTTGTTTTTCTTTTTTCTCTTTTTTACCATTCTTTGATATTTGACATATCGTTTTTTCCTTTTTTTATTTCTATTACTAATATATTTAGACTTTGTATATAATATTAAAAATTATGTTCCTATTTATTCGGAAACCATTCTTGACATTCTTTTTACATTACATATTTCTATTTTTTTTAATATTTTTGACATATCTTTTTCCCTTTTTCTATTTCTATTTCTAATATATCTATATTGTGTATACTGATAGTAGTTCTATTTTTAGTTTTCAAACCCATTGTCGACGTTTCTTTTCTGTTATTTCTATTACTCTATGCATTAAAGAACATTCTAGGACATTCTATATATCCTATTCACATAATGAAAAAACCAACAAACTAATTCCAAGCATGAAATGGTTCGCTAGCATAGTTTGGCATTGACCATTAAAAAACATCACACCCAATGTCATGTGACTCAATGGCATTTAACTCTAGCTCTTTCTAAGCGGGCTTGCTAGCGCCCGGATGTTCAGACGGACGATGCGTCCGGATGCGATGCCGGTGCATGTAGTATTTTTCCCGTGTCGTTTCGCGCGCCCACATGAGGCCCACGTTACCCTTGAACGTTACCGGCGTCGAGAAGAGGGGGAGGGGCCGGCGGATGCCCAGCCGGCACTAGGAGGAGAAGACACCGATGCGAGGCAGCAGAAGGTGAGGAGGGAGATGCAACACCCCATCTACTTTTGAAACATTCAGATGCAGCACTTGCAACATTTGTCTGGAGACAGATGAAATACTTGAAACATGCATCTGAACCAATTGCAAAAACACCTAAAATCATTGTAAAAACATACGCAACATCCAGATAAAAATACTTGCAACATATGTGCAACGTACGTCTGTAAAACAGATGAAGCATTGGGACCACAGAAGCTTGCAACATACGTGTACAACCATTGTAACATATGCAATATCCCAATCTACTTTTGCAACATCTATATGAAACACTTGCAACATACCTATGAAACATCTAAACCACTTGAAATATAGGCTTGCAAAATGCGCTTTTAGCACAGCATCTACTTGCTGCTTGGACGAATGGAGGCTCATTGACGTGGAACTCGATGCCGGCGTAGAGCTTGATGCCATGGAATGCCGCTCGGGGGATGCAAGCGGGCGGGCGGTTGCGTGGCCCCGGCGAGCGGCTGTGCAGCCTCGGAGAGTGGCTGTGCGGCCACCGACGAGCTGCTGCGCGAATTCAGGCCAGACTAGGACAAAAGGAGATGTCGCATAGTCCCTTTTGCCTCCGTGCTGCAGGCAATGTCCGTCGCCAATCTCGCCGCTTAGGCGCTGGCATCGATGGGAGGAGAAGCAGCAGGGGAGAGGATAATGTTGTGTTTTTGAAACAAGTGAAGGAGAGGATAAGACTGTGTTGGATCCATAGGAAGGAAACGGCGTGCAGACAAGAATGGTGCGAAATTTTTATTCATACGGGCATGCGTTTTGACGGTGGGTAAGTCGTCTTATTCAGGCTAGGGCGGACGCCCTAACCATAGCATTTTCGCTTTCTAAGTAGTGCACTAGTACATCAGTAAAGCGCAAACATAAGCATGATATTTAGAACGCAAAGCATCTTCATGCAATTTAGACTATATATATGGACAAATGCCTCTGGTTCCGAGGGAAGGTATAATTATTTAAGTCTAGATCAATCGGAACATGGCTTTTGTTAATGACTAGAAAAGTAGAAGAAAAAATTGCAGAAGTAGCAAACACCATCCCTTTTGAGAGTAGGTGATCCCTTTCTTATGCATCCCTCAAATCAGACCATTGCAAATAAGGCATAAAGCATCGCTCCTCACAGGGCAACACAAGCGAAGCCTAGCACCCCCGCCCCCACACTCCTTGCCTTCGCCGCTTGTCCTCGCTACCACTCGAGCGCGCCACCAGAGGCCGTGCGGCCGCAATATATGAAGGTGGCATCTGGGGCGCTGCCGGTCTCCTCTCCTCACTCCATCCCTTTGTTAGCGGAGAATGAGCACAAGAGCCCTTTACAATCCTTCTCTATAGCCCCCCCATAAACTCCACACGGTGCTATATGGAGACTGCTGCCTCCGAGCGTCTAGGTGACACAACTACCTAGAGTAATAAGAATCCTGGGACCTCGAATGATGAGCTATTGCCACTAGATATAAACTCTCAATGGAAATGCACTAGATCCTCTCCAATCTCACTCAAATGCAATGCCAACTAAGCAAATGCGAGTCAAGTGTTATCTTGAGCTCTAGATGGTATGTGTATCTGATGGGAGTGCAAGAGAGCTAAAAAGCCCAATCACATCTTCTATTTATAAGCCCTCAAGAGAAACTAGCTATTATATCAACTAAAGCAGCAATATGTGTACTCATCGAAAAGGCCTGGTGGTGTGACTAGAGCTTTGCACCGAAGCCTCCCGATGGCTAAATTAAACTAGCAATTACATGACCTTGTCTCCCGTGGCTCTTCTCCACTGAGCACCGGAGTTTTTCTATGGCCTCACTGTTTTTCCACTGGAAAACCCCTCTTTGGAGTTCAACTCCGGTGAACACTCTGGTGCACTCTAGAGAGTTCTACAGAAGATTTTTAGGCCCTCGGAAAGCTCCGGTGACCCCCAAAGGAAGCTTCTGATGACCCCTTTTGAAAAACGCCTGTGCACACATATTTTTGCCACATGCCGAGCCTTTTCTCCTGAGGCACCGGAAGAATAGGTCTGCGCCTTGAAAACAATCGTTGTCGCCCATCAAACTTTCCTCTAGTAGTCCTTCTCCATTGACCACCGGGGATTTTCGGTGAACACGCATGCACAGTGAAAATGTGATGATCCCACATGATTTTTAACCTAGATGTAATAATTGTTTTAAAAATAATCTACCCAAAATAAAGTTAATTTCATATCTAAGCCATTTGGTTGCACAATCCCACGTAACATAACTAAATCACATTATCGTGCGACATGCATGGGTATGACAAGGCTGCCAAGTTAGCACCACGGATCTAACGTGGATGCTCCTGTCGCACTATTCTCTTTTGCCATGGTTTTGTCCCGTGACTATTTGGTGGGACAACAAGAGCCGCTAGCTAAATCCCATTTTCAAATACATTTCCTATCCATCATAATGAGTATTCAAGTCTTCATACTAACTTTACCAATATATCTACGATTTTACTATCTATAGACCTAGAATCAACAGGCGAAGGAAATGAGAAACTCCGCATACATGGGCGCTGCCTTCGCTTTCCCTCGCAATCTCGTCGTCATTCTTCCACTAAACAGTGACAGACTGCTCTAGCATGGTTGGCTTTGTCCTGTACTCGACTTTCTTCATTGCGCCGACCTCCATTCGCCACCCCCACCCCATCACCACTACTACTCGTTCCATTGGCTTTGTCTGTGTTGCCAAGGAAACCGAAGGAGGCGTGCGAGGGAGAGGGAAGAAATGAGAGTCCACCCACCATCGAAGGTCTTCCTGCAAAATACACCACTACTCACCACGGCGGCATGCATAACCTTTGCCACATCAACAAAAGGCTACACGTTGACGTCCAGTACACTAAGTATAAGTACCTAAATGTGCGATTTGCATGTGAATCACAAAACTAGAATAACGCAACCAAACAAATTTAAAGACTGTATGTGGTTTTTTTTTCATTCAACAAATTGTTTCCTCGGCATGGGGGCCAAAGGACCCACGGTGACACAACTTTTTTTTTCCAAAAAGTTTTTCCGAGGAGGAAAATGAATCGGATTCCATTATCCAAAAACAATAATTAATCAATGAGCAAAAAATAAACACAAATCCCAGGGGTCCCGCCGTCAGCCGAAGAAGCGCCGAGGCGCAGCGCAGGAACCGAAACGAAAATCCCTGCAGCAAATCCATCTATCGCCCCCATCTTTCGAAAGCAACATAAATCCATCGCCGTCCGCCGCCCTTGGCTTTCCCTCAACAAATCCTAGCACGTACGTACCCTCCAGGTCCAGCCGCAAACAGAAATCCATCTGCAGCGGAGCGGCGGTGCGGCGGGGCGGCCGCGTTCTCTCGTCTCGCCACGAGTCGACCCACCCGGGCCTGCCGCTCTCGTCGTCCTCCCCGGTCATCTGGGTTCGTCGCCAACGCCGCTACCCACCGCACGCGCGGTTTTCCCATCACGAGTGCGAACCCCTCCCCTCCCCTCCCTCTACCTACGACTTGCGCTTCGGAAGTTCGGATCATCCGTGCCGTGCCGCCTCTTGTATTGTGTGCAGTGTGCTGGCTATTTCTGATCCCGGTTTCACCGCCGTGCTCCGTGCCACAACCATTGCGCTTACCTTATTTTTTATATTGATAAAATTCATTGCCCTGGCCTTCGCTGCGCGGTTCGCTGAATGCAGATTTAGTTGTTTTCCGTTGCAAATAGGAGTATTTTAGTTTAGTCCAACCACTTCGCCCGATTTCTTCCGACTCAGGTTGGACCGCCATTGTTGTTTGTTGTTTTTATATCTGTTGGCTGTTACTAATCTGCTCTGTCAGTCGAGAAAATTGGATATTTGAGACTCAAATATCCAATTTTCTCCTGTCAGCAGCATCAATTCTGTATTCTTTGTACTTGCTGTGGTCCACTAGGATGATGTAGCATTAGTTAGTTTTGCCTCACTTTTTCCGTTCACCGTTTTTCTAACAAATTTTTGTTTCCTAGGTTAACCACCACGTTTATTTTTATTTTTTACACCGTTCATTCTACTGTTAAAAAGTAGAATTTCGACTTTGTGCTGCAACCTTACTGTTTGTTAGAAAAAAAATATGCGAATGACGGCCATTCCTCACTCATTTCACCTGTGTGCGTGTGCAAGGTTCATCGGAATGAGGCGCGAGGGCCCTGCACTGTCGTTTAGACAGGGCGCTGCTGGTGACATGGCAGGAGCTATCTTCATGTGCAACATATCCACAAGGGAACAAAGCTTTCAAGCAAAAGTTTTCAGCCTGCCGTTGGAGTATCAATCCTTTGTTACCAATGTCAGGAAAGGGATGCCTTTGTTTCTCTTTGACTACACTCTGCGCAAGCTTTACGGCGTCTTTGAGGCTGCCTCTGACGGAGGGCTCAATATTTGTGATGCTCCAATTTCGTCAGTTCAACGCTCATATCCTGCGCAGGTAAGCCTCAACACTAAATGCCTTGTTTTTTTCCTTGTTTTAGTATAAAATTGTAATGAGTTTTCACTTATGTAGGCAGTAGGCATAATGACATAGGAATAGGGAATACCCGAATTGCTTTTAAATGTTTGTGACTTTTGCACATTAGATCAGCTAACAAGCACTACACCTGAGATGAAGCTGCCCTGATGATAAAGATGATTATATGATAAAACTATCGTTTGGTTTTGAGCTGACCTTTTTCCCCTCTAGGTTCGCATCAATATTATTTGGAAGTGCAGACCACTGAGTGAAGATGAGTTTTTCCCTGCCATAGAAGACAACTACTATCATCCAAGGAAGTTCTACTTTGACCTGTCCTACGAGCAGGTTTGCTTTGCTCCGGCTTTGCTACATAATGTTACAAATGTACATTCTGATTGCACCGCTGTGACAATAAAAGCTTCTACTGACTTGCAGGTTGTTCGCCTATACGAGTTGTTCGATGACAGGAGGGTAGAGCGCCCTATTCATGACTATACAAAAAATGAGAGTTTGGAAATAAACCACTCCGGCAAAGGGGTACTGGACAAAGAAAGCTTGACTCCAGATGTTCCTGATTGCAATGATCAATCACGCCTTTCAGTTCCCAACATTTCAGAAGTTGCAAGAAGATACTCTACTCCTACATGCATGCTAACAGATTCACCACTTAGTGTTGAGGCATACCCAAACATGTTGATGCCCTTGAGAACAGAAACTTTTGGACCCCAAATTGCTCCCAACCTGAGCCGTCATGACCAAGTAGGCGTCCATTCTCAGTGTAAGCTTTTCCCAACTGCTCCAATGACTGATGCTGTTTCAACTCATGTATCTGCCCCTTGCTCTCAAACTTCTAGGCACTACCAGTTGGTTGCAAAGCAGTCATACCTGTGGCCACAAGACTATCCACATAATACCTTGCCTTCTGGATGTACTGCTCAGGAGCCAAGAAAAGCTAAATTTGTTGCAAATCAGTCATATCCATTGTCTCATGGCTATTTGCACAATGGCTCGTTAACTTCTGGATATGCAAATCATAATCCAACTTACAAAGGCAGTAATCATTTGAATTCAACTTTTACCCTGCATGATCGTTTATATCCTCAATCGTCGCTGTCAAATCCACAAAGTAACTCTGACTATCAAGTTCCTTGTGACATCTGCTTCAACCAAGACCGCTCTGGTGCGCATAACAACATATATGCATGTGAGCCTCAGTGTTTCAGTGGAGAAGCTTTGCCACAGGCAAAACTAAGCAAACTAGGTATTCCCACATATCCTGAAGCTGAACGTGATGGGAAAGCAGTGCCAGCAATTTATCAACAGAAAACGACTTGTACTGATTACATTCAGATCCTTGATTGTGATCAAGACTTCAAAAATGATCGGATGAAGAAACATGGTACCTGTAGCAATACTTCGGATTCATCAGATCTTGAAAATGGTATTCTCAATCCGCGACATACACAACATGCTACAGGAGCTGAAAGCAACAGAAAGAATTGGTGTAACCCTCCACAAACAAGTGTATTTTCTCGCTTATCATTGAGCAAGCAACTAACTTCTCAAGAGGCCACAGGTCCTACGCTGAACCAATTGGTTTCTTCTCTTTCCCAGAAGACAGAACAATGGAATCACAAAAATAGACCAACTGCAGATGGTTTTATTCTGTTGATCGGGAACAGGCTATGGACTGTTTTCATGCAGAGCTGAACCTGCCAAGTCAACTAGAGCTGGAAGAAGAAGAAAGCATAGAGCCACTACTTCCCAACTTGAACTTCAAGAGACGCAGTAAAGCAGGGAGGTGGATGCAAATTTGGGAAAAGAAAGGGGAAAGTCAAGAAGAAAGCTTTAGCCCTTCCTTGAAGAAAACAAAGTTTCTACAAATGTCGAGGAAGAGTTGAAAAGAAATTGCACGCAGAACATGAATCAGAACTATCAGGAAGCCAGTAAAGATCATTTTGACATTGACCTAAATGCACCTGCTGCATCAGTAGATAACGATCTACTGGAGGAGGATAACAGAAGTGTAGTGTGTCCAAGTGTTATCAAGATACAAACAGAGAAACCGCATGAAACAGACGTGAACAAGCCAAACAACTCAGACGTGATGGAGACAACCAAACAAGATCCATCAGTTGCACCCTCACAAAAGGTTTCCATTGAATTTAACATCGCAGACCTGAACACAATGGATGAATCGAAACTGTGGACAATTCTTGATCAGACATCCTCATTGTTGTTATCACTTGGTAAACTCAAAAGTGGGAAGTCTAACAACTCTGAAGAGTGCGTTCAAAAAAAAAAACAACTCTGAAGAGGCTAGGTCAAGTGTTTTTGCTATGAGGACATGAAAGTAAACATGGCAGTGAACTCTAATTGGTAGTGCCAAACCTGAGTGCAATTGACAATAGCAACAAAAAGGGGCCTGTTCCATCTTGATTAGAATATATATGGCAGCACAAGATTCAAGTTTATATGAGCACCTAGTGCCTTCAGTATATGTAGGAACGGTTCTATATTTCTCATCATAGCATTTTGTAATTTGGGTGGATATTTCTGGAAGGCAAACCGACTGTCATATACCACTTGTCTCAGGAAACTTAAAACAACACCAACTTCTCGATTCATTGCTAATAATAGTGTTCCGGTTTGATGCAAAAGTCCTCTTTGTTTTTTCTGTATTTAATTATTTATTACATCTTTTCAATGTATGTACTGCCGTCTGCTACTGCAGTTTTGACAACAAATTCCAGATGTTTTCTGCCCAACCAATTTATTTCTATGCTTCGTGTATAGCAGTAGCAGACGGTGTGGAGATGAACAACGTTTATACTTTTTCAAAAGGTCAACACAAGTTTTGGGCACAGTGAGCACGGCTCACGGCATCAATATTACTCCCACCATCCAAGAAAGAATGCAACTTTAGCTACCGGCTGGTGTCCCAAAATGCCCAATTGTAGCCAAGTAGAGTAGCTGTGATGGTGGAAAATAAGCAGTAAATCACTGATCCAAAGTTACATCAGACCAAACGCACCTGATACAAGAGAGATTGAACATTATCACAACAGATGTACCAAATTTGAACATGTCGTGGAGATTTACTCTTTGTTTTGCTCTAACTATTTCTCATATGATACGTCATAGGCCATCTTCATTGTGTTACTGTAAAGCTTCTCCGAGGAGATACAAGAAGGTAACTGTATGTACATCATAATTCACAAACATGCTCATCGACTCACAAAGCTTCCTGGGGTTGTAGTTGTCTAGGATAGTTATCCACCTACTGGGAAACTAAACCTTCTATTGCATCCTTGAAATGCTTCAACATTTTTTTTTTCAAATAGCTTTCTAATACTATTTACTTCTGCTGTGATAATTCAGATAGTCAGCTGATTTTTTTATCTTACATTTGATGTCAATGCTCCTTATGGTGACTTCCATTAGAGGGCTTCAGGGCTATCTAGAGTTCATATCCAAACACAATGGGAGAAGATTGTTCTTAAGAACATCAAGTTATTAGGATTCACTTTATGAGTTGATTAGATAATTAGAATGAGGTTGGCAACTCATACTTAATGCTTAATCATCTCCAGGACAAAAACATGAAGCTGTTGTTTTGGAGCATCAAAGGAAAGTTTAGGAAGCCATGAAAGCAAAGGCAAAGAATACTTGTTGAGATGGAGATGAAGGCCATAAAAACGATGGGAGCTATGTAGGAAGGAGATGCAGTATTTGGTGCCGGTGTGCTAAAGTGAACCAACATAAATCAAAAACCACCAACATACATTATAGAGAATGATGGAAGCACCGGTGCGACTTGTCTCATAAGATTTCACACCGGCCCTCCATAAGAGGGTATTATAAGCCTGCATCTCCATGGCAGTTTATTCACCTTGTGCCTTATAATTGTTAGTTTTATTTTTCTTAAGCTTTTTCCATGGCAGTTTATTCACTTTGTTTTATTCCACAGGTTTACCCTGTTTTGAACAAGGAATCGAAATACTCACATAGGAAGGGATTCAAGTGTACATTTGAGTGTGGAATTCTTCATATCTATTTCAACTTCAAGTGTTACCGTTGCAGGCGTCCAAAATACCTCAAGAGGCAGGAAAGAACTGGATTGATTGGACTGTTGCATCATGATTCATCACACGTTGGCATGGATACTAGTCAAGTATGCATCCCTAATATATAGATCCTATGCCAAATGAGAGTACACTTTTTTGGTTGTACTGACTGATTCCCTTTTTGGGGGTAGTACGATAATACAACATAGAAAGCTGATAGTTTTCTTATATATAGTGGGGTTATAGATAGAGTCCTGATCGGTTTACATGTGGGTTACCAGATAGAGTTGGTTTCTAAATACATATTGTTATGCCTTGTCTTCCGAGTAGATGAGGTGCCCCACCTAGGTTGGGCTTCTCGTGTAGCCTGTTTGGTGTACCCCGTCTCACATGGGCTGTTATCCATGTGATGAGGTACCTGGGTAAAATAGTTGTTTCTGCTTGGATCCCAACACTCAATATTTTGAATTCATTATATCACAGAATTATAGTTCTTATTTTATAAATATAGATTGTAAAAAATTAAATTAGCAATATTAATACGATATAATGTTTCAATAAAAATATATAAACTTACTTTTGAAAAAATAACTTCAAATATTTATTATCATAGAGTATTAGTATCACTTAAAGTGAGTTGTTGGTGTGTTTGCTATGTGTTTCGTTAAGGGAATATTTTCACACGTTTGGTAAATAATTAAAATAAATATTTATCCTAATATATACATATTTACTTGGTCTACATGGTGGAACATATCATTAAGCTTACTCTTAAATTAACAGTTGTAGAAGTTTTTAATTTAGAAATATATATAGCATATTTTATAGATTAAATTAATTTTCATAATAAATGATATTAGTATTTACATGTAGATTTGAGAGATATTTTTGTTTCTACATTATAGCGTCTGAGATGAATAATTTAGATACAAATTAAATGTTTCCTCGAGTTGAGGGATGAGAGGAACAGGGTGCATGTGAAGCTTTTGCTGTCACCTGAGTGGTTCTGCAGAATTCGACATCAGACCAACAAGCTTCGTCCATGACCTCGTCCTGGGGCCAGGCAGGGTTCACCATCACGGCGGACACGGACGACACCGCGACGACCCTCTTGACCTTGGCCTCGGAGCACGCCTTGAGGACGTTCATGGTGCCCGTCACGGCCGGAGCGAGCAGCTCTACCTGCAGCAACAAAGATTGAACAGACGCATGAGAAAGCCGAGGGAAGAAAGAGGGCAGCAGCGGGAAGGGCGAGCTGAGGTGTGGTGCCTCGGGGTCACCGACTGGGTAGGTGCTGGGGACTGGGGAGTGGGGACGCGACGTGGAAGACGCCATCGCAGCCGGCGATGGCCGCCGCCACGCTGCAGTAGTCCAGCAAGTCGGCCCTGAACAGGCGCAGCCGGTCCGCGGCGCCGTCCATCGCCGCCAGGTGCGCGTTCTTGGCGTCGCCTGCGCACCACGCACAGATCGTCCAACATGTAGTCATGTAGCACGCACACGCCAGTTCACCGGGAACAAGAAGACAAGCAGTGATTTCGTACCCGGATCGCGGACGGTGCCGTGGACCATGTATCGGCCGCCGGCGAGGAGGCGCTCGACGAGCCATGAGGCCACGAAGCCCCCCGCGCCGGTCACGCACACCGCCGTCCTCCTCCCTGCTGCGCCTTCCATTGGTACCGATCACGAACTTACGGGCTCGTCTTATTTCCTTGGACTGATTCGGGTGTCGAGAGGATTATTACTTGTTGTTATTGTTATTAAATATACAGCCGGCCAATTGGGAGATATTCCTATTGACCTCGTGCAAATTGTGGCTGTTGACAATTTGGTGCTAGTCGACGTCTTGATTCCTGAACTACGAGGATATAGCACACCGGTCGGGCAGAGAACTCGAGGGGATCCTATGTGCATATAGTACTTTGTGTGCCACAATGCACACGGTGACAGAGTTTGGTTCCGTTTGATACAGCTTAACTTCACTAGCGAATTAGTTTTTTTTTCGGTTTTATAAAGCAACTTCACCAGTGAAGCTAAAACTGTTTTTTTAAACATAAAACAACATTTTAAGGAAGATAGTAGAGAGAGCTGAAAAAAACTGTATTTTCAGCTCCACCTATCTTTACCTGTGAACTATGCATGTGAGAGAAGCTAAAAAAACTTAGAAGTTGTTTAATCAGAGCCTGTTTAGTAGGAGAAGCTACAAAACAGTTTTGTGAAGCTAGGACAAACCCTACATTTTGCGCCCTCGTTTGGTTGAGCCCCTAGCTAGAGCTGCCTGGCGCACACGGTGGCGTCCTGCTCGTGCGATGGTACGGGCTCTAAATTTTTAGGGCCAAAACTATAACTAGGTATGAAAACGGATCGGATTGGTAATGCTTCTCTCATATTCTAATATGTTTTTCTTTGTCGGATTCGGATCAGAGCAGATAATACATGGATGCAGATGCGGTGTTTTTTGGATGTTGGAATCGGAACTTACAAATATGGAGCAAATCGAATCAAATACGGATTTAAATAGTCGAGTATATGTGCATGTATGTGAAGAATTAATTTTGTAAAGAGCCAATAACAAGTAGTAGACAATAATCATACATTGATTCAAGTTGTGGCTATCGCACCGACTACGATTAGCATAAATAAGTTATCCTCACTCATAAATGATAAGTTATTAGCCAATATATAACAACAGCTAGTAAGATCTCAATTCCAAATCTATAACGTCAAACAACGACATCATAGAATAAGAGTTCTCAACTAACAAACTTTTTTAAATCCTAAATTCCTCTAGGTTTTAGTCAAGGAAGATAAATTATAGATATCCTATTCTAAACCTCGAATAATCCGTATAGAATTTACGGATAATTTATATCCACTAGATTTTGTCGATTCCATATTCTGCCCCACATTCGTACATAATCCGATTCAATTATCCATATCCACGTGAATATTAAAAGTTCTTCTCCGCATCTTTAAAATTTAAATTCAGATCAGAGCAAAATGGTGAATTACCCGAACCTCTTTCACCCCGAGCTATAACTCACCTGGGTAATCAATATTCTATACTCTATTTGACTTTTTGTGTGTGTGTGTGGAGTCCATGACGATACGGTTGGTGCCAAATCTAGGAATGGCTACACTACGTCTGTCCATTCAGCCTAAGCCCGTGTCTAGTTTCTCCAAACTTCTAAAAAAATGCACTATAAAAAAGAAGATTTCCCGTCACATCAAACTTACGGTACATGGAGTACTAAATGTAGACGAAATCAAAAATTAATTGCACAGTTTGCTTTAACTTTACGAGACGAATCTTTTGAGCCTAATTAGTCAATGTTTGAACAATAATTCACAAATACAAACAAAATGCTACAATAGAGAATCTTCACTATGCAAAATTTGCCTTTACCCAACTAAACACCCCCTAAGCTACTTCGTCCCGGTCCAACTCACTAAGTCACTGTCTGCAGTTAGGGAATCTCAAGTCTAGTATTTCACTGCAAACATCAAATTGCAAACAACACAACGTCATCGAGGGGCGCTTGGAGAGTGCATACTGATAAGTGCCAAACTGTCGTAGTGCCATGGATGATAGATCCATCAAAAACTTGAGATGATCGGCACTTGGAGGCTAGCACTGAACGAGTAAGTAGCCTAATTGCTAAAGATATGTAGGTAATTAGGATCTGTTTGGATTATCGGGTCTAAATTTTAGTTGTTTAAAGTTGAGGACTAAAACTTTAGACACTTTAGCTCACATCTAGAGTGTTTTAAGGTGGTCTAAACTTTAGAGAACACTGTAGACCTCCTATTTAGAGCAAGTTTACATATTCGGCCTGTTCGCTGGTTGGTTTCTGGGCTGATAAGCCCGGCTGGTACTGCTTTGTTGTGAGAGAAAAACACTGTTGGCTGGCTGATAAGCCCTGGCTGAAACCAACAAGCGAACATGCTGATAAATCAAGACATTCCTGGAAGAAAGATTCGTGCACCAATCAAGCTCTTGCTTTTTTGAGCGTCATCTACTATCATCATTAAGCCGGTTTGCTTTGACCGCCAGAACATCATCCACGCCACCCGAATTATTTTCAGCCGTCCGATCCTCCATCGTGTGGCCCAGATTGCTTGTAGCCGCTTCTGTTGGAATCGCCTTCACGGCTCCTCGTCGCTCTGGGTTCATTTTGCTAGCTTCTGCGGCTTCTCATGCGAATCCGGTGGAACAAATATATACTCCAGCTCCTGATTCTTCTTAAGGAAACTTGTCATCCCTCCCGGTCTCCTCAGACGCTCCCTCCTCGCTCCCGAGTGTCGTCGTGACCGACGACCGACGCGCTGGGCGGTCTCGGCGGTGGCCAGGCCTCCCGTCTGGCGGCGGCCTCCTCCTCCTCCTCCTCCTCCTCCTCATCCTCCTCCTCCTCCACCACCACCACCACTACCACCACGCCCCTTCCTCCCTCGCGACGCAAGGCAGCGGGTCGCAGCGGCGCGAACGCCGACCTAGGGTTTGGCCCCTCCGGCGCCGATCGTCCCCCCACAGCACGCTGGCAGTGGTGGCGTGGCAGAACCTCCACGATGGCGGTCTTGTGCTGGCTGGACGGTGGCACACATCCGCGAGCTGCCCCCCGCTGCCCCCCGCAGGTGGCTGCCGCCGTGGCTGCCACCCCGACGCGGCTTCGTCCCATAGGTTCGCCTCTCCTCCTGGGCTCCGCATTTTATTATGATATGTCATTTACAATTTTTTTGCGTTGCCTGTGATTGATCCTTGGCCGGATCCGTCGGCTGCATGGTTGGATTTCTCCGCTCCCCATTCAATCTATGCAGTGAATCGGGTGCTAAAAATCCCCTTTATCTCTTTTCCTACCTTGCCGGCGCGCGCGAGGGCGCGCGTGATGGACTAGTCATTGTTAAAGACCATAACATTCAACACTTTTTCCAAATGTGCCAAAAGGGATATGAGCATCACATCTAGCCGGACCTAGGCAGGGAGGTTCAGCTCAATCCCAAGCCGCCATGGTTGCTTCTGCTGTCCATCAGGGACCATTATGTGGAGGCGGTTCTAGATTCTAGAGGCTTTTACCTATGTGTCATTATAAAAGTTCGTAATTACCTACGAGTCATTGAAAAGTTGGAGTGGTCACAGATGTCATCGGTCGAAACTTTTTTTTTTGCCCCCCACGCCATTCCGTCTAATTTTACCTCTAACGGTGTTAAACAAATAGATGAAATAACCATTTTGCCCCTAAGTCAGATAGAGTTCTAATTTTCTTTGCTTCCCCGTGTGCCATTCAAGTCTGCTAGAGTTCTGCCTGTTCGCTTGAACTTATCAGCCGGCTTATCAGCTAGAATCTACAGTATTTTTCTCTGACAATAAATCAACTTCAGCCGACTTTAATACTAGCCGAACATTCGCTTTGCTTTAGTACTACTATGTGGCGCCAAAATTGAATATTTTTTTATTAACACTAATTCAATTGATATTCAAATTATTTGTAATAATTTTTAGTTTTTCAACATCATAAATTTGAAAACTCAGCTACTCTTATATTAAAGAGCAACCATATTCCAACGGCAGTACTTTTGTTCTAGCGGGTACCGACGACTAAAATCAAGACAAAAATAATAATAAGCCAAACTAAAATTAAAAAAAATTATATAATTTTGTTCTCATCCTGGGTCCCAGGACAACCTGAGCAATCTCATCGGGCATCACATAGTATTAGCAAACAACAGAATATCTCGTGGCAGCCCATGGTTCAGGCATTCGCTCGAACATGTGGTGTGCATGTGCGTCATCTTCCCCCAGCACCCATTCAACAGTTACTGATTCACCAAAAAATGCAAAATCCCAAAAATAAATCCCCACAACAGTGGTACAACCCACTCGATTCAGTGAGGCCAGAGGGGCTAGCTGGCCAGGCATGGCAGCGCCAGGGGAGGCGGCAGGCGCCCGTAGGAGCACCAGCGCCACGCGACGTGCGTTGGGCGCCGCCGCTGGTGGCCACTGTCGTCAGCCGGGAGACGGACCAGCAACGCACGTGGCTGCGGCCAGGCACACCGCACGCAAGGCAGCCACCCGCCACCCGCCGCCCCGAGTCTGGGAGAGCCGCCTCACCCTCCGGCCTCCGCCGAGCGCCGCACGCCGCGCCGCCCGAGCGCGAGCGAGTTCGCCGAGCCCAAGCGCCTTCGTGTGCTTGTGCCCTGCCCCTGGTTGCCCTAAGGTCTAACTGGATCAGCGATGTGCCATCGGGTGCTCCTCCCGCATCGCCGTCCTGAGTGCTCAAGGTGGCGTGGCCGCGGGCTCGAACGCCGGCTTGACGAGGTCGCGAACGGTGGGGTCGGCTCCCGGCTTGGCGTGGCGGCGAGGCTCCTGACCGCGGCCCTGGGCGCGGCGAGAAACAGCAAGTCATGGGGCGTGCCGCGGTGGGGACGTCCGGGCGACGCTGTGGTGACTAGAGAAGAGCGAGAGCGAGAAGCGGATGAAGGCGGCGGGGTGGCGCTGGACTCCGAGTTGGAGCTTGCCCGTGCAGGACAGAGGAGAGGGTTGGGACGGAGGGGGCAATTTAGACATTTTGACGGGTCGGATCCACATGTAATGTAACACCTATGGTGTATGAGCTCGCTACCACTAAGATTACGATCTGAGAGATAAATCTATAAATATAGTAAGTTAGTTTACCTAA